CCTGATGCTCGGGGCGGCAGATGGCGTGGAAGGTTGTCTAGTAGTGGAAGTCGGTTGTGTACTGCCTCTCCCACATCGTCATGTGGGTGGGGTTGAGCCCCATGGCCTAAGCAAAGCCATCATTTGTCAGCATCCTCGCGTGACCTCCTACCATGAACTCCACGTAGGGTCTACTCCTCTTACTTCTTGGAATGAAGTGGGAGAAAGTGGAGTAGAACTCAACGCAAAGCTCTCGATAAATGAGCTTGTCCACTGCCAGCAGCTGCCTCCACTGGGGTGACACCCCTGACATCACTGCCCGGCATCTAAACATGTTGAACATGTCCAGATCGAGCATCCAATGAGGCCTAGCCTCGCCGTATCTCCATTTGCCAAACTTGGCCCCGTAGTGCTCGTGGTTCACCAAGTAGCTGATGAACTTGTGCTCCGTATTGACCATCCTGGAAAGCATTCAAACACGCACCATACATGGAAACAATTTTCAATTTCACATCAAGGGGAGAAAAGACTTCCCCCACACTTAGGCTTCGACTACGGTCCTATGCCTTTGAAGGCTTTTCACAAGACTGGTTAACAATTAAGCTCAAATGCACACAAAACTCATCGAGGCATGGTTTTAGGTGGTTCAAGGATTATCAACACACAAAATCAACCCCTAACCATGCCTCGATGGCTTCCAACCATCAATAAAAAATCACGGATTCACATTCCTTCACATTTTTGCACTTGGTGGGCAATTTTCACATTTAACCACAAATTGCACCCAAATTCGTGCCCACCAAGGCTCAATTAAGCTCACGCATCATCATAAACATTCATCCATCATTAATCGACTAAACCCTCGCCTAGTTTTTACATTCAAGCATCAATTCAAAAAAATTACCTCACTTCATACCCTACTCCGATTCTCAAAAAATCAATAAGGAAAAGGTGGAAAATAAACCTGGAGACTCAAGTAGGATCGAGGGGGAAGTGAGGAGATGGCGAGGGAGCCGAAAAACGCGCGAAAAACTGGCCGGAGGGGGTCACTAGAGTTTCATCGGAAGCTAGCCGGAGGTTCGTCGGAAATCGTCTCACCAGAAAAATTCGAGCCAAACCTTTCCAACGATTTGGTTAAGGTGCTCCTTGGTGAGGGAAGACTGAGTCTGTGATTTTTTTTTTTGGGTTTTGGTGGCCGGAGATCACCAAAATTGACAAAAATAGATGGAAAATCGCGATTTCCCTGTGAGATTTGAAAAATTCCGGCGAGGGGGCGATCATGAAGTGAAATGAATCGTTCACGCCCCTTTTATAGGCAGATCCCTCAGTTCAAGGACGGAGGAGCCAGTTCACGGTCATTAAGACCAGTTTACGGTCACTAAGACCGTGAACTAAGTGAAAACAGGGCACCCCCAAAAATCTTTGACTCGATCTACTCACCCGTACCGCTGATTCGATCACACCACACCCCAAAACACAATACCACAGAGACTTGGCACGGTGGTACCCAAATCTAACACTTGAACTCTTCACACACACACAAAAAGAGAAAAATAAGGAAAAGAAAACAAACTGTCGTTGGATTTCCTCCCAACAAGCGATAGTTTAACGTCACTAGTTTGACGTTGCGGATCTATCATGCTTGAGGGCATGAATCCACCATAGTGGATCCGGCAAGGCCTCGGGGTGAGGCTTGTTACCTCCTACATTTATCTCCATAGGGTGGCCCTCTTGGCCCGACACTTTCTCCTTACCCTTATCTTTTGGTTGGGAGGAGGCTCGGTTAGGCCTATCCCTCCGCACTCTCTTCTTCTTTCCTCCGGGCTTATTATCCGCCTTGGTTTCCTCTACCTCATCATCAAATGGAACATACACACTAGTGGGGTTCGCCTTGAGAGGCTCACCTCCACTTCCATTCATACCACTCGAGTCCATTCTTTCACAACATCATTCTTAACCTTAGTATCAATTGAAAGAGTGAGTTGCCCCACTCCATCTCTTAAAACAAGAGTTCCCTCATTAACATCGATTAAGGCTTTGGAAGTGGCAATGAAGGGGCGTCCTAGTACGAGTGGCATATCCTCATCTTCACTGATATCAAGGATAACAAAATCCGTCGGATAATAGAAATTTCTAACTCTCACTAGGACGTCCTCCACAATACACCTAGGAGGCAAGGACTAATGACAGAACGATCGGCCAATGTGATACTAAGCCTAGTGAGCTTCAATTCACCCAAATGCAACTTCCTAAAAAGCTTGTAAGGCATCACATTAATGCTTGCTCCTAAGTCCGCCAATGAGTTTTCTATATGATTATATCCGATGCAAAGAGGTATAGTGAAACTACCTGGATCCGGTTGCTTTTTAGGCAACTTGTTGAGGATAAAAGCGTAGCACTCCTGGCCTAAGGTGACATTGGTGTGGTCTTCATATTTCGGCTTCTTGGCGAGAAGCCCCTTGAGGTATTTGGCGTACATCGGCATGTGCACCATGGCCTCCAAGAATGGAATTGTGTACGGAGCTTCTTGAGCATCTCCATGAATCCACCACATTCCGCCTCCAATCGGACCTTGTGGGGAAAGGAAGAGGAGGCTTGTACTCAGCCACTTGTGGTGGCATCAGGAACGCCTTCTTAGGCTCTTCTTACCTTTCTCCCACTTCTTTTTGATCATTGGTCGTTGGAGGGGTCTTCTCTTCTTTATTCACTTTCTTAGGAACAACCTCCGGGGTAACCTTCCCATCCTCAAAAGAATAGCATTGAAACCGGCATTTTGATATTTGCGGTTGACAATGGTTTGAGAGGGTAGAGTTTCCCTTGGTCGCTCGGTGAGGATCCTGTCAAGATTTCCAATTTGCACCTCCAAAGTTTGAAGGCTTGCTTGATGGCTCCTTAATCCCTCCTTAACAGAGGTAAACTTTGTTGTTGCCACATCCATAATTTCTCAATCTTCTCGAACTTTTGAGTGCTCGTTCCCACAAAGGTGATCACAATGTCTTCAAGTTTTTCAAACTTATCGAGTTGTTGGAACCCTTGACCTCCTTGAGCTTGAATTTTTTGTTTGAAGTTGGAGCCTTGGAATTGCAGCCTTTGTTGAATGAAAGTAGGCCTTGGTTTATAATTCCTTGGAAACCGGGGGGTCTTGGGTTGGTAGGAGAGGACCAAGAGAAATTCGGATGATTTCGCCACTCCGGGTAGTAAGTGTTGCTATAGGGGTTGTTCCCCCTAGCATTGGCAATGAAACTCACTTGCTCCTCGGGGGTGCTCGATTTCTTCGTCATTTGACAATCCAAAATCTCTTGGTTGGTACTTAAACACCAATCACACGCCATTACCGGCCTCTTCCCATGCTTCTTGTCCGCAAGGAGTGCATCAATCAACCGATCAATATTAGCTTCAAGCGGGGGACTCGCTCCTACAGTTTGCACTCCCCTTGTGGTGCTTCTCTTTCCACTTCTTCTCAAGCCCCAATCATACCCTTTACTTGCCATGTCTTCAAGCAACTCTGTCACTTGTGGTGGAGTCATGTTTGTCGCAAACATCCCTCGAGGGTCGAGTCGCGTTTGCTTTTGGAGTCGCATTCGATCTTACTTGGAGTGGATCGAACACTCATAGGTCGGCTCTGACCTTAAGGCCAGAACCGAGGCTTGGTCTGCGATATAGAAATCTAGGTTCGGGAGTACGGTTACATGTGGTGAAGTTAAGCAATACCCCCACAATGCCCAAAGGTTGTACTACTTAAGTTGATAAGTTTTTATGAGTTGGGTGTATTTTTAATAAATATTGTGTATTTTTAGGATCCCACTGGACCATTAATATGTTGTATTAGTAGATGATTTTTTATGCGCCCACTAACGTACAATTTAAAGATAAAGTTAATTAGTTAGTTGGACTCGAACTTTCGGTTGCCTATGTACCCGTAATACGAGATCAAAGTCCATGTAGTTCGTTAAGATTTTGATAATTTTAAAAGTAACTTTTACCACGCTCCATTGGTCGTGGTTTTTGTATTAAGGATTTTTTTGTTAATAACATTCAAGTTGATTATTATGGAAGGTATGAAAAGAGAACATATGAATTTCAGTTATTTAAGAAGAAATTTGATGTGTTAAAAAAGAAATATGACTAGCCTAATCCGCATTCAATATTTCATACTAAACAACAAACTAAAACGGAATGATTATATTTACGCGTGATGGGCCAGCAGCCCAATTGCTTAAGTCGCCAGTCGTAGAGCGGGTTCGTTCCTGAGAATGGGGGTTCGAAACTTGCTAAATACAATTTGTGTGAATTATCGTTTTAGTGCAGAGACGGAGGGCAGGGCAATTACATAACTGCCCAAAAATGTGGTGGCAAGGCCGTGTAAATGGTTAGAAACCCTAGGGGTAATTAAGACATTTTAATTGTTGGGATATGGGCCAAACGGCCGCCTCACTCCCTCGCTCGACCCTTCCATATCTCTCGCTTCTCTCTCTTCTTCCCCATCTAACACGAGAAAATAACGAAGAAGTCGAAACCCTAATATCGACCCAAATCAGCCGCCGCTTCTAACCGGCGACCCCCTCTCTTTCTCCCTTCTTCTCGATCCTTCTCTCCTCTTCCTACCCAGAAAACCTAGAACTCATAGCAAACCCCCTCTTTCTTCTTCTCAAGCCACCAATTAGAAAATGACTCGAACCCTGAAAAAGCCCCCTCGGAATTTCTCCTTCCGCTCATCGCGGCTTCGAAACTCATCCAAATAGCCCCGAATCGACAGAAATGGGTTGATCTAGGTGAAATTAAGCTTGCATGTTGTTCAATCTTAGGTTTTCTATTTATTTTGTTTTTTGTTTTTTTTATATGGATTCTAATTTTCTCTTTCTGGGTTTCGGATTTTGACGAGCAGGAGAAGGCTCGGTTAATGGCTGGTCCGGGCCTGATTTCTTTGTTTTTGCAAATCCACGTCTGAAAGTCTTTGAAGCATTGGGCTGGGCTTGACTCTTCTTTTATAGGCTAAATTTCAAATTCTTGTATACCAAAGTATTGTAAATTTGTAATTATTTTTAATGATTGTACCAAATTTCTAATTCTTGAATCCTATACTCTGGCATGTTTCCTTTTGAATTCAAGCCATGTTGTCGAACTCAAATGCTCTCACCCGAAACTGGAATGAAAGACCGGACTATCATTCTCGAATATCAAAACTCTCTTTTGGTGCGCAAATTCAAGTCACAAGTGTTATATCCGGACAAAATGTGGTGTTTACAATGTTCATCAATTTCCCTTGACATAATGAGTCAATAAGGATCTTGTCGTCTTGGTGGAGACCACCATAGAAGGTCTCAATCTGGAATTGCTCTCGACTCCATGGTGTGGGAATTGGAGGAAGTAGTCGGAGTACCTTTCCCAAGCATCCCTCAATGTCTCATCTTCCTCTTGCTCAAAGTGGGTGGTCTTCTTGTGCCACTCTGCGCCTCTTTGAAGGTGGGAAATACCGAGTGATAAACTTGTTGAGCATATCCTCCCACAAAGTGATCGAGAGAGCCGACTTATTGTTGAGCCACCGAGATGCATTCCCCGCAAGAGAGTAGGGGAATAGCCTCAACTTCAAAGCATCTTTGGGGACACCATTGATCTTCAAACTCTCCGCAAGTTCAATGAACTTCTGAACATGCTCCGTTGGAGGCTCGTTGCTAACCCCATGAAATAAGGAATTGCTTTGGATCATGGTGACAAGGTCGGGCTTGATCTCGAAATTGTTGGCAGCCACGGGCGGATGTCGAATGGCAGGTTGAATATCCGCCGCCATTGGAGCCAGGTAGTAGCCCATGGTCCTTGGTTGCTCCTCCGCGACCGCTCCACCTTGAGCGGGTTGATTAGCCGCCATCTCGGCTTCACTTCCTTCCTCTTCGAAATCAAACCCATCCTCAACTACAACTTCCCCTTCTATCCTCCTTCTTGCCTCTGCCAGTTCCCTCTCACGAGCCAAGTGTCAGAAAGTGCGGTTGAGATTCTCGTCTAGTGGCGCCAAAGGTGTTGGATTACTCCGGGTCATACACATCCCTGCACACAGTCAAAAGAACCACAACACGTCTAGCACAAGCAAGATTCATAAACTCAAAAGAGAAAAGTAAAAGCTAGATTAACACCAAACAATCTTTTCAAAATAATGAACCGTTTGCTCTCCGGCAACGGCGCCAAAAACTTGACTTGTCCCGAATACCACAATAAAACTCCCAATTAAATCCCAAGTATAAACCTTAATTGGGTGCAATATAGGGAAAGTATGTTTAATTGTAGACCCGGGCAGATTCATGTACCCCTACTTCGATTGTTTGTAACATTATCGAGCGGTTGATTTTTGGTGAAAACAACGGTCTATAGCAAAAACGCTTGGAAAATTAAATGGATTTGACACTAATTGAGAAAGGCTTCACCCGGGTGTCGCTCCCCCTAACTAGCAATTATGATTTGTCGGATCGTATGGTCATGTGTGGTAAGTAGGTTTTAACCGTAGTGAAGTGCAACAAGTAGCCAAACGCCACTCTCTCGGTCTCTAGGTCGAGAGAATTTGAATGAAGCCACCAACGTGAATCTCTCGACCTATTGACTAAGGGTTTCCAAGACTTCACCCTCGAATCGGAGTTTAGACGGCCACTCAAAACCAAAACCTAAGTGCTAATACGAACTAAGAGGGTTGCTCTACATTAACCTAGATAGGAGACAATGAATTGCCTAAGAAAACCCAGCTTTGTAATCCTTTTTCAATGAAGGGGGGGGGGTGGTTCTCTCTACCTAGGTTAGAAAGGCAAATAGATTGGTAGGCTTTCACACAACACAATCATTCATGAACAATACCTACACATTCATAATAAACACAACCACATACAAATCATTCAATCCATACAAACATTCACATTACAGATCCTAGCATGTAAATTGGAGCAAAGGCGCAAGTTTCAAGTCAATCGGAATTCATTTGGCAATTCGAGAGAAGAAACACGAGCATGACCTGAGGAATAATGGATTTCTACCTCATTTTATGAACAAATAATCATGCAAGTTTGTTATGAAAAGAAAGAGGAGGAGACTACGAGCGCCTGTGTTCAAACGACGAATGATTTAGAGTCTGGACAAGGGAGAAACGAAGCATTAAACAGGAGCGGAGGAAGAATTACGGGCAGCTCCTGCCCAATTACGGGCGTAATTGCTTCTGTCGTGCCCGTAAATGCAATGTCGAGCCTAAACCACTGAGAATTCCTGTCGCTGAGCAAATTACGGGCAAGAGTGGACTCATTTACGGTCGTAATTACTTAAATACTGACACTAATTGGGTAATTACGACCGTAATTACCTTCCTCAGAGTTTAGTGAAACGCGCGTTTTGGGTGAATTACGGGCAGACCATGATTACGACCGTAATTCAGCCCGTATTTCACCCACAATCGGGTTTTTTAGGAAGATTCGAGCCAAAGGGGAGAGAATCGACTTTTTGTAGCAAAAATAGAGCCCTAGAGAGAGAAAGTGCGAAGAACCCCCCCCCCCCCCCCCCCCCCCCAAGAGTGGTTTTGGAGCTGGGTTTCATCAATCAAGCTTGGAAATCATCCTTGGAGTGAAGATCATCATCCCAGAGCAGATTCTTCCCATCTTGATGAGTATGACTGCTTTGTTTGTTGTTTTCCTCTCTCTTTATGAAGTAGAACTCTCTCTCTCACTTGGGTATGAAGAACCCTAGTTCCATGTATTAGGGATCATTGTTGTAACGACTTTTGGATTGTGACATTGCTTGATTATAATCTATTGAAGTGTTTTGATTGAGTCAATTGAAGTCTGATCACCTTTTATTGATTTCAGCTAAAACCTGAGATAGATAGAATCTGATTAGGTTGTTAGAGCTTCTTCAATCGGTAGTAGTGAATCGATTATACAAGAGTTAGTCGATTCACTTCTTTGTAATGGAATCTAATTCCAGTAGTGGAGTTCTGTGTTCATTGTCTCAGCGTTCTATCCCGATGATGACTAGTTGTCTGCCGGGTAGTTTGACTAAGAGGGCTTGGTCAGCTTAAGAGATTCCAAGCTACTCTCGGATCTTCCGCAGTATAATCAGCAGTAAATCAACCAAAAGTAATTACAACTGTGACCTAACTAAGGAGCTAGGGGGGACTCATTCCCGAGTGACTCTTCCTTTGCTTTAGAAAACCGAATATTTTCCTGCTTTCTTACTGCTTTTAGTTAAAACCCCAATCAATCGACTTAGTTGGCTATATAATAGATATTCACGGAGTAGGCAGTAGATCTAGACCCCGGGTTGATAATTAGAACTTGCCACTTTACTACATTTCCGGACTGTGATTACACTTGGTCGCAGTTTGGTGTTGTGTTTTAGCGTGTCATGTTTTTGGCGCCGTTGCCGGGGACTCTAGGTTATTGTAGAAATGTGAAAGTCTGTTACTTTAGCATTTACTTTTATGCATCCTCTCTTTTCCACCCTTGCTTTTCACTTGGGTATTTTGTTTTTGTTGGTGCATATATGATACATGGATTCTCATGGCTTCTCCAATCATTGGGGGTATCCAAAACCATCGGAGTGGTATTACCCCGAGACTTTCTGGAGCAACCAAGGAGGAGAAGACTATGGACTCAGGTTTTAGTACCAACCCCCCTACTACGAAGAACAATCTCCTTATCAAGAAGAATTCCTCCCACAACCAGAAGGGGCATCAGATCTTGATTTAGCCACAACCTTCATGGGCCATCCGGCAGAGCCATGCTACACTCCACAACCAGATCCAAACTATCACTTGAGGCTTCTCGTGGAGCAGATTGCTCGAGTACCTGAGAGATCCTTTCCCGAGATGGATCCTCATATCCAGGCCATAGCCCAAACTGACTTCTCCTTTCCCCGTGAAACAGAGGATACCCTTCGGAGCATAAATAAGCACATAGAGGTCATTGAGAAAGCTTGCGCACAGTTTTCTCAAGATAACCTTATGCTACCATACAAGTAGAGGAGGAGGAAGAAGAAGGCAATCATGAGGATGTTGAGGAGCATACATAAGTTGTTACGGTAAGCTCCCATGATAATCATGATCAAGTGTATCCTCTGGTGGTGGATCACAACTGTCCCCATTTCCACTCTGATATTCTAGGCCCGAGCGAGGAGATGCAAGATGATCTCATTGAAGAAATTACATGGCGACTTGCTCTCTAATTTGTGCTAGAAGAAGAAGAAGAGCAAGAAATGGTGAGGGAAGAAGTTGTGGAGGATGAGGAAGAAAGCAAAGAAGAGGAAGTTCTTGATCTTTTCCAAGGGGAGAGACCACATTTTGAAGAAGTAAGGGGGGGGGGGGGTTGAGGAAGCAATTAGCGTCCAGGCCGAGGATGAAGTTGTGGTGGAAGAGGCTTGCACCGGCCCTATGTTACATGTGATATCTCCACCAAACTTCGAGGAGCTACTTGGCAAGGACCCATTTGCAATGTCTCTTTTCCAGACCAAGACCACATCAACATCAATCCCTCTTGGTGGATGCGATAGTGGTCAATCGATGATATCTTATCTGGTTTGGGGAAATGAGACAAGAGCAAACGCGAAGGAGAGGTCTCGAGAGTTGAGACTTCATCTTCCTCAAGGCCACGAGCCATCTTCATCACCTATCAAATCACCTGCTTGTGACTTGAGACTCCACATCATCGACAAGAACCTCAACTTCAAGGAGGTTCTGGGGTGGACCGAAACTTAGGAGCCACCGTCAAGCTAAAGACGTAAAAGAAGCGCTTGTGGGGAGGCAACCCCACCAAGCCCTGCTGACTGGTCCACTTCCAGTCCCCCGGCAGTCTTTCCTTCCAGTAACATCGTTCCCCTTATCTTTCCCTCTGCTCCATTGAGGGCAATGTCGAACTTAGGTGTGGGGGAGTGCTTTGTATTGGTTGGAACGTATATATGTGTGCTTGGAGCCTAGTCCACTGTCCAAATCTTGAGATTTGAGCGCCCCAAGTACTACTATTTGCTTGATCGTATTGGCACTGTGGGTTAATTGGTGAATTGAATGGCTTTCGAATTAATGCATGACAACTGGAGTGTGACTAGGACAACCTATAATGATGACTGAGACGTGCAGTAGAGTTGTGTAGGGGTTCAGTTTTTCAACTATTTTCTTACCAACTATAACTTGGATTGATCACTTGCTCTTGACAGTCGTTTATGCATCTAGTTCAGGGAATCAAAATGAGAGATAGAGCATATAGGTAGCCATGCGAGATTTGAGCCTGCTCGTTTCTTTCTTGTGCAATAGATCCCTCTTCCATGATTTGTAGCATTCACGTTGTCACTAGCTGAGATGATGGAGGCATAGGAATAGCCCACGACCAAATTGATTGTCCTGGTGTGTCATACCCCCTAGTCAGCCCCTTTGAGCCGTGTCACTTTCTTTCTTTCGGTCTACAATAGAAAATTACCCTTTAGCATCTCTTAGAAGGTTCCACAGAGTGGTTTTTGCATGTTCTCTGCTGTTTCTGCTAAAAATAATGTGAGGGTTGGAGGTAGTTCTTAAAAAAGTTGGGCATGTGTTTGAAAAATGTGAAGAGGTGGTGGTTCTCTCAAGAAATGAAAAAAAAAATGGATGAAATCTAAAGAGAGCCACTATGATATGCCCCCAAAGGTCTCATGGTTAAAATGTTTTGAGTACCTTGTATCTTACTTAGTTTGCTTGGGGACAAGCAAACGGTTAAGTGTGGGGGGAATTTGATAACGTCGGGGTAATTAGCATAAATGGTAACAAACCTTTGCACTTAGTATAAAATGGTCACAAACCTTTAATTTTTAACAATACGGTAACAAAACTTTGAAATTGTATAAAATGGTCACCACTATTTAACTTATGACCATTTTGTTTTAAGTGCAAAGGTTTGTTACCGAATCGTTACAAATTAAATGTTGGTCTTGTTTTGAGGTCGGGTAGTTTGTTCGTTAAATATATGACACTAACCACTTGAACGACATATAAGATGTCAGGTCATGTGTTCATAGACATATTTGCTTTGCCGAATAAGAATGCCCTCAGTTGACCTTTCAATTTCGATACCAAGAAAGTAAGAAAGTAGACATAGTTTTTCCAACTAAAAAGCAGTCGGGAACCCGTTTGTGAGCCATTGAATTCTCTCATTGTCATCCTAAACAACATAATATCATTCACATACATTAAGAAAACCACCATACAACTAGAGTGAATTGTAACGGTGATTGAGCGTTCAAACTTTTGAACTTAATTTGTATAAAACGGTCACCAAAAGTCTAATTTGCAATGACACGATAACAAAAGTTTGAACTGGTATGAAATGGTCACACTGTTTAAT